GTCGCCACACCGGGAGCTCGCAAACCGGGAGGTCGCAAAACCGGGTCACTGAGTAGTCAGCTCTATAACCGGAGATTAGTCGCAACCGTGAGTCGCAACCGGGAGTCGCAATAACCGGGAGTAAAAGTCCGCAAAACTGGGAGTCGCCAACCGGGTGAATCGCCAACCGGAGAGTCGCCACCGAGACTATAACGCGATAAGTCAGAACCACAACCGGGCAGTCGCCAACGGAGTCAGCAAACGGGAGTCGCAAACCTTGGAGTTCGCCAATATCCGGGGTAGTCGCTACAACCGGGAGTTCGGCAAACCAAGGGAGTCGCAAACCCGGGAAAAAGTCGCAAACCGGGGAGTCTCTAACCCACGGAAAATTTCTGCAAAAACCGGAAATGAGTCGCGAAAACCGGAGTCGCAAAACCGAGAGGCCAAACCGGGAGTCGAATAACCTGAAGCAGCCCGTGCACCAACGGAAAGCGCATATTACCCGGGAGTCGCTAATACTTCTTCTTCTACTTCTTCTTCTACTTCTTCTTCTACTTCTTCTTCTACTTCTTCTTCTACTTCTACTACTACTACTTCTACTTCTTCTACTACTACTTCTTCTACTACTACTTCTTCTACTACTACTTCTTCTACTACTACTTCTACTTCTTCTACTACTACTACTACTACTACTACTACTGCTACTGCTACTGCTACTACTACTACTGCTACTACCACACATGGAATCTTCGAGCTTGCCTCGGCCGGGGGCGGTGCCCCACTAGAGGAGATATCTGGAGACAGAAAACCCTGCTAGCCAAATCACCCGTACCACCAAGGGAGGGGGGGGGTAAGAACTAATCGTCCCGCTATCACATTCACTAGTCACGTGACTTCTGACCAAAATAATAGTTATTGCGCGCGGAAACACGGAATACTAATCACTCGAAGTGTTAAAAGGGAGATTACTGCATTATGTAAGAAGTCGCTGGCTTCAATAAATGAATGTTTGGAGCTGTTTACAAAAAGTTTTCAATGTACACAAATTCAGAAGTTACAATGCAAGTCGGAGTTTACCCTCTTTTACTATATGTATTAACAATGTCACTTTTATAATATTTTTCTTAATCTTTAAATTATCATTAAAATTACTTTCACAATAAACATTAATTTAAATGTGTGAAATTCAATACTTTGATTTGAATGAATGAATGAATATCTATTTATGAAGAAATTCTCAATAAAAGATAATGTATTCTATACTTTTTCACTTTCCTCTAGTGTTGCTACTTTGTGCTTATTTTCGAAGTTATTAATTCATTACTGTCACACAGTATGGTAATTAAAAATGTACTGTAATGGTTATCTAATGCCTATGTTGATAAACAACAATACTGAATGTACCATATCGTTATTTCAATAAAAATGTTGTATGTTATTCATAGGAAGAAAAGAAAGAGCAAGTCAAAGCAGAAGAAGAAAACGAAAAGAAATTTCAAGCTATCACACAGAGTTTATGGGAAGAAGACGACAACCAATTCTTCAAGTATGCAGATGAACTGATACAAGATTCTCAGGCAAAAGGACGAATGCTTCTGCCACTTCAGCGCACTATATATGTAAGTAAACCATGTTATGCTGCAAGTAGAGCTTCTCAGAAATCTCAGGCACTTCTGACCATTGTGGAAGTATTGGAGTGTGCCTTCTCTAGAACCATTAAAACTAAAATGTCTAGTTTTATATTATTCTTAGATGTATGCTGATAGCATTTGATTATAGTAGAGTATTATTATCAATGATAAATAATGAAATATTTGTGCTCTTTTTCATTTCAAAGCCAAAGATGTTTTTATATTATTATTATTATTATTATTATTATTATTATTATTATTATTATTATTATTATTATTATTAACATTGTTCTGCTTCAATACACTTTCATACATGTTCATTTACATCTGACATTATTAATTATGGTGTATTATGTCTATTAATAGCATAAGACTATCCAAAAAGTTTTATTTCCAAGAGGATTAATTGGAATATTCACTTGATCTGTCAGTATTGCTTAACATTTTAATATTTTTGCTACCTATTGACTTTATTCTAACTTTCAGTATATTCGTGAACATTTTCATTGCACCAGTTTAAGACAACTGGTTTCATGAAACGCTAATGAATATGGTTACCAAAATGTTATATATATATAGAACTAAATGAAGATCAAACCAAAATTTCTCTTGCACTCTATTAACACTGATTAAATATTTTAATTTTAATGCTGATATTTAACCCCTCAAGAAGTTCTATGTAATAAATATGTATTAACAGACTGTTCTTAATAACTGTTAAATTAAACATTTTGATTCTACCATTCTGCAGTTCTCTCTACTTTTTAACAAATGTTATCCTCTCTTCTATGAAAATCCACCTACCCCGTTTCAGTACTTGAAATAACATTTATTGTTTTTGACAGGGACATCTGGTACCCCATGCAAGAGTAATATAAAGCTACTTTAAATTGTTTTTACTGTAAAACTAAGAATGAAATTCCGTAAATTGGTAAACTAGAAGAGATTTAATGGCTTATGGTTTATAAAACTAAGTATGCGTTAGAACAAACAAAACAAAAAATTCTCGCTACGGAGGAGGGGTCAATGCTATCATGATACTTTGGTTATTTGAAACAATTAAAATTACATTAATTATTTTTTTTGTGAAGAATAAATACGTTTAAAACACATAAAATTATAAACATTATGAGTACTCATTAGAATTAGTCACAGATCTAGGCAGGGGGAGATCCAGCTGATAATTTTGGAGGGGGCCATCATAGATTTTTGTTATGTAATAAACATTTGTTATTATACTGCATATTATTTTGTAGGGATATGCGATTCTATACAATATTATTTTTTAAATAATAATATAATTATAACACAGATAAATATTTAAACCCATTTTGCCGAATAAATGAGGGTAACAATGAAAACTTCAGGCCTTTGGAAGTGGGGAGACGGCAATGTCCTCATGCTCCCTCCTCTGGATGTGCCATCGCATCAATACATCTCCATTGTACTGTCATGTCGTAACTCAGAACATGACTTACAATACATTATTACTATAATTATAAATCAGAAAAAAATGTTAGCTTGCACTTAAGCATTTAATTTTGTTAAAATCATTACTAAATTTTGCTCTTCCATGTTTATTTAATAAAAGTTCAAATAAAAGTACCACCAATACAGTTTCCCCATTTTTATGTTTTCATTGTTTACAATACCTTGCCATGTTTGTGTCAGTCAGAGCCAGTCTTTACTTAATCAAGCAGTCATTTATTACTAACAATATGAATATTGACATCTACTTTTTGTTACACAGGAATACAAGAAGAAGAATCAATTATTGCCCCGAACAAAGAGAAGAAACACAGTAAAAACTCCTGACAAATGCTAAGAAAGCATTTAATAAACAACACTCTCCATTTCTTTCTGAGGAATTGTTGCATCACTAATGAGAAAAAAATAATAATAATGGTGAGCTGTCAATGAAAATCACACAAATAATGATACCTTGTATTTTAATTTGCACCACAGTTCTAAATTGCTACTGTAATTTTAGTAATTCTATATTTATTTGTACACAAATCAAAAATAAAGTTCACTGAATATTAACACAATTTTGTTTTCACCCTATTTTCAAGTAGTATTTCTACTCTTTACAGTACTGTGAACTCTCAGTACTCTGTTGAACACTTTACAGTAAGTGTTTATCTCAAGGATTTTTCTTCAGTCTTCTTTCATTTAATCCTACTTACCATTAAAATGACAAACTCCTAATTGTTTATTAAAAGAATCTATCATGTTCATTCCCTTAATAAGTTATTTGTTTTACATCAAAACATTTTAAAAAACTGTACATTGTCTTTGGAGAAGTACAATCTGTACTTGTATTTTTGAACACTGGAATCTTTATTCCCTGTTTTTTTCCATTCTGAGTAGGATTAGGAGTGCAAACACGAGTGCTTTGCAAAAATTCGATTACAAGGAATAGCCAATGGCGTGAATACATCTACCCGCCCTGCCATCACATCCTTTTAAACATTTTTACTATCAAATATACATTAATTTTGGAAAGAAAAAGAAAAAAAAACGTTATTTAAATTAAGCAATTTTATAAGTTTTAAGAATTTTAAGCTCATTATAAGAATTCCTCCAAAATTATAGTAGTTTTCCAAAGCTACTTACTCAGTGGTGCACCAAGGGGAGACAGTTAGGGGGGCTTCAGCTTCCTCCAAAACCAATGACACATACTCAAAAATATGGGTTTTACTTATTTTCTAACTAATGAAAGTCATTCAATATATCAATTGGTAATGTTATAAATATTAACTACAAGTTAATAAATACAAAATATAGTCGGCATAAATGAAAAAATCATGTAAAAAACATCACGTAAAATGGACACTACCTGTCAGATGGACCCCTCCTCAAAAATACTGAGTGCGCCTTTTAACTTACTTTTATAATGCTTTTTAACATTATGATTCTTGCAGAATAATCAACCACTTTCAATTTATAAAATGAACCACTTAATATATTTTGTAGATGAATTCTTTAACAAATTAATTGTTTTTCATAACAATTTGCAATTATTTATTAATGCTTAATTTTTACTTGTTTATCCATGAACTCCAACATTGAAGGTCTCTAAGAAGGTTTTTGTTCCTAAAAAACACTTATGTACTTATGGGCTTTGATTACAGAACTACAATTGTTTACTCTCTTTGCTTTCCCTTTGCCCACAATCTTTCCGATTTATTATTAGTGCCAAAATTTTAATTTATTGTCACCTTCTCCACACTCTTTTCATTTAGAAAAGCAGTAACTTCAGTAACTAAGTTCCTCGTTCATAGGCTTTATGATAACAATCTCTCTTCCTTTTCTTAAAAGTGTATTTAAGATAACTGAAAGATTATTGATAATTAAATTAAATAACAACAACAAAAATTTCAAGATGTCAGAGTACATAGAGGCATATAATGCGGAACGGATCAATAGACAATTTTAGACACTGTGGAGGCAAAATGCCTGCAATGGTATGGGCACGTGCAATGGTGAGGGAAGGTGGCCAAAATGATTGAAAGGACCCCAGCTGAAAGACGAAGAAGGAGAAGAAGAATTACAAGGAGAAAAAGGAGGAGGAGAAGTAGAAGAAGAAAGAGAAGAAGGAGATGAAGAAAAAGGAGGGCGAGGAGGAGACCAAGGACACACTGGAAGAATGCATTAAATAAAGCAAGGGATGGAAGAAACCTACAAGTAAACAACTGGAAAGATGGTAGCAAATGGAAGCTAGAATGCGATAAGTGACTAAGTCGAAATAAATTCGCAAATATAAATAAAATAAAATATTTAAGATAACATCCACACAACTACATACACATTATTGTAAGATGGAGCCGGTTAGAGTATCAGGTTTTAAACAAAAAATGTAGTGCTATATAGTGCAGAGCAATATTACTTTCATTGCAATGTCAATGTCTAATTATAACAAACTTATCAAATTTCTATGAAATTTATTTCATGCCTTATATTCCTATTTGACAACCCTTACTCAAACAGTCAGAGAAACACAAATCAATTATAATTAAAATGGTTTGAAGTATTACTTACCCTGATTGTAAACTAAATCCAGTCAACTAGTTTACTTCCACTTGCTCCAACCAACTCAATAACTACTGAACTACACTAACCAACCAAACTGAATTATTAAATACACTAGCTGAACTCCAAGCAAAAATTCTAAACATTGTAAATAATAATTGTTTCAAAACTGAAATAGAAGAACCCAACCTGACATGGCCAGCACATGAACAGGGCGTTACAACATTATAGGCCTGGTACTGTGCATAAGAAATTCTTGTATTGGACAATGCTGAGATTAAATTGTACAGAAAAATCAAATAGTTCTTAAAATTTTGGAATGGATTTTTTGCTTAAATTTAATTTTACATAGATTTGAGATTTCTGCACCTACCTGATCACCCATGCTCTGGAGTGACAGCACCTAAAATTACTAAAACCCAAGAACCTACTAGAAATCACAATTGTGCCCCTTCTTTTCCCCACACGACCCCCATCTATCCTCCATCCATCCTTTGTCACTTCCCTGCCTGTCCCCTCAAAACAAGGGTCCCTTTAGGAACACAAAAACCTAGTTTAAGGGTCTACAATACATCATTCCTGTGTTATGCACAATTAAAATGTATGTTGCAATAATCAGTCTGAATCTGCAAACTTACATTTTTCCCTTTTAAATCTGTGCAGGAGAAATTCACAAGGATTCTATATCTAGCAATAGCACGCTGGCAAGATTTTGGGCCAACAGTTTCTTATAAATTACTCAAAAGCATAATCTAATCTTAGTGCAATGTACAGAGAATTATTACATAGTAATAAAATCACATTATGGGTGACATTTCCTTACTCTGCAGAGCTTATTCCTGATATATTTTCCTAGCCAACAAAGCAAAAGATAGTGGTGACATTTTTCAAGTATATTGTCATTTATTTATGAAAGAGTTATCACTTCCATAATTAAGTGAAAATAATAATCAATTCTCACAATAAAAAAAATTAACTTTAATTTCACAAAAGTGTACATATTTCACTTGTGACGTATTTTTTGAATTTAAAGAAAGGTATTTAAGGAAAAAGACAATGAGGAAATTTGAGAGGATAATGAATACTAGTACCAGACATTTGGAGAATTCCAGTTTACTGGTCAACAAATTTTAAGTTTATTAAATGTCACATTTTTTCAATTAGGATGTCTTTGCCAAGTACACAATAAGATCACTCTAAAAAAATAAATTCATTACAATACGTTCAAAATTGGTGTTAAACCTTTTTATTCAACAAATTTATCTTTGAATTACAGAACAATAGCTTTATAGGAAAACAGAAATTAGAAATCAAGACTCAAGTAAATGAAATTAAATAAAAAAAAACCTTCCTACATACAGAAAATGTGAAAATATTTCTTCCCGAATACAGTGACACATTATCTTATGAAAGGAATGTGTTACTTCAACCTCAATCACATTCAGACTTCAAACACAATCCGGCTATTTCAGCTCAAATAATTCAAGTTCCCTCTAGCCTTTTCCAACTCGTGGAGTAGGGAGTAAAATTGCGCCAAGTCCATTTCTACAAAAATGTTTTTCAACGAACCATCACCAGGAACACCCGTATCAGCTACTATTTTCAGTTGAACAAATGTTGTACCCACCATACTCTTCTCACTCGTTGAAGCAGTAACTCCGAATTTCCAATGAACATCAACCACTTTCATAGCCATTATGGCGACTATATCCGTTCCTTATCTTGAAGTATACACCTAACTTTACACTGCACTTTGTTTAATCCAGCGTTTTAAATAATGAAATGATTCCTTGCCACTTAATATAAGTATTGACTATTGACGCTCATCCCAGCTCGCAGCTGCTCTTTTCACAGCACGTGACAGTTGTGCACACACCTAACATCTTTGGCACACACAGATGTGCGCAGAAAAAAAACTGCGAAATATTGATATGCTACATAATATCAGATAGATATATACTCTTTGTATAATATACTATATAATATTTCGTATATTTATACGTGCCCCTTCCCCTCTTGACAGAATGGTTTAGAAATAGTTTTGGACAACATTAATAGATGACAGCATTAAACAAGACGATCGAGTGCGTCCCATCAGCCATCAACCCCCGATGGTGGTTGGCCAGGTCACAGAGTATATATCAGAGACGGCAGTCCAGAGAGTATATAGAGAGAGAGTAGGGCCAGGTGGTTGGCTCCCGTTCATTCATGGCACGCAGAATTAAGTTGGTTAGCAGAACGTATATTAAGTGGTTAGAGCGAGATATTCTTTATTAAATAGTCCATATTACGTTCAAAATTATTTATTTGCGAGTCAAGTGGGTATTGTGAGACATACATAAACAAAATATGGACTTTTATGCTGAATTTTATGTAAATATGCGAATTAATTTCGTTCCATAAATGTCAAATAAAAATATTTTAATATCTCATAAAGAACTACCGTTGACCAGTTTCTTAACTAGAACCAACAGATCGCGTGGCCAAGGAATAAAAAAAGCATAAGATTGAACATAAAAAAAGCACTATTACACAATTAGTACGAGCAAAATCATAATAAGTAACATTATAGACATATATCTATTTATTTTTGTACAGTGATGACTAATAATGGCAAAATTTTCCATATTTGAGTGGAGCGAAAAGTCTTAAGTAAATAGGGCAACACCGTAATGCCCTTGAGATTGGCATAACTGCTCAGGGCTCATGCTTTTTCCGTGCTTCTTCAAAGTTTCGTTATTTTGAATCACTTTGAATACTGTTCGTTGCTTGGTCGGTCGACACGCGGGAAGTATGGTAAGTATCAGTAAGTATCACAATCTGAGTGAATTGGCGGAATATTTATTTGCAAAGCCTCATTTGAGAGAAAACGAAATAATTCTCCCAATATTACGAAAACAGTGACCTGATAAAAAGTTTTCCAATTTTTTTCTTCAATGGTTGTTTTTCTTTTAATTTTTATTTCTTGAATTACCTGAGCCAATGGTAGGACAAACTAGGTTATTCGATTGTTTAACAAGATCTGCGACTTTGTATAAAGCTTTATATTTAACTTCACAGAAAATTAAACATCGACTTCTACTGCTCCTCATTATCCTTCTCATCACTTTTTTTTTTGTTGTTGATTCTTTTCAGTTATTCCCCTATTTTATTTTTGCTTAGTAAATTAAACTGCATGATCAATTTTTAAAGTTTGAATAGTTTTGATTGAAATTTTACAACTATGTTTGCAATTGCAATGTGCTAAACTATTTCCAGTGGTGGGATTGTATAATTCAGAGAAACTATTTGCTGGTTTTCTGTTTAATTTTATATCATGTTATGATATTGATTTAAATGCAGATTATTGTGTAAAGTACATATCAAACTAAAGCTGATAAAATGAAGTTACTGCAACATAAATTTCGAAAGCTGTATTATTGAGACCTTCAATAATAAAATTGTAACATTGTTGGAGATAAAATATTCAAAAGAGATTTGCAAGTGGCATAGTCTTTTGTAATAGTTTGTCTGGATGTTGCACTCAAAATTAAGAGGTTTAAATGTTTTGAAAATGAGACACTAGAACCATTCTAAATGCAACTATTGTTCAGGAAATGCAAACAATTAGATAACAGAAAGTGCTGAAGAGAAAATGGGTTTCTATTAAAATCATGAAACTACCAAAGGTTGAATATGTCATTCCTCTTACAATTTCAATAATTATTAAATTTGCCCTTGGGCAGATTTAGAAAAAAAAAGAACAAATCTAAGAAACACTAATTATGATAGAATAAATCATTGTTCCAAAACATGTAAATTTACAAATTGCTTACAAAGTAGAAATTTCTTCTTAAATTTCTCACCTATGTGAGGTATCACCAAGATTTTACGGATGTTTCTCATGGTATGTTCCTTTCAATACACAGTTATTAGTGCCGCTTGAAGGTAAATAGTTGTAAATAAAAAAACTTTTTTGTGGGGGGGATTACAGATCCTTGTACTACTAAAAAGGTGCAAGAAGCTATTCTGGGAGATGAATCTGTGACTTTGGTGTGTGGTAAGTGCAAGATATTCTTGTGCTTACTAATTTCGTAATTCTAGATTGGAAATTAAATGAAACCTCTTTCTTTCTGATACAGATTTGTTTTCAGAACATTCATTTGAGTACATAGTATCTTAACAACATTTTTTTTGCTTTTCAGATCCTCTTCCAGAGATGTCTTCTGAAGCATGCATATTAGACCCTATGAGTTTGACCCTAAGTGATTTTAAATTAAAGTTCTCTTTGAGGAGTCAGAACTCAGAGAGATAATTTTAAAGAATTAATGTTACATGCAGTGAATGACTTGCTTAATTTATTACAAAGTTTCTCTACATACCTCTTTTATGCTGACAGTTTGTAATGGTATGAATAACGAGAGTTTTAAAATCAGTGTGTATTGTCATTGGATACAGATAGATTACATAAACTGTACTCCCAACATTGATTTAAAAAGTTCTAATTTAATTAAATTTAAGGATAAAATTAATTCTGAAAAGTGTGATTATTTTCTCAGTTTTGGAATGCCTCTTTTGTTATGTTAAGACACTTTTTTTGAATATTTTGAGTTTCTGTTTCAGAGGCTATTTTCATGCAATTTTAGAATTTCTTTAGTGCTTATTATGTTGTCTGTAATTTTTTTTTATTATTAGTATTAATTAATTTTTATTATTACTATTCACATAAGTTCCATATGTATTGTTGTACTGTTCTGACAATAATTGTTTCTCATGACAAACACAATCTTCATTTAATTTATATTCTACTATGTGAGTATCACTGTGATATGTTCATCCTCATGCCAATTACATTCTGAATTTGAATGCTGATCCTTATTAGATTGTGAATTGTCATGAGTCATGAATTCAATGCTTCATTTTATAGCTTAGTTGTTAGGACCAAGCCCCGTTATCAGAAGGTCCCAGGCCCGGCTCCTGGTGCAATCAAATATTTGCACTTTGACAATCCATTTTCAAAATTAAATTGTGTTGCATAATCATTGTTTTAAAAGTGAATGTACTTTCACAGTGGATCCCATTTTAAACAAGCCAGGCTCTGAATTATGCTTATGTGAGATTGGCGTGGGTAAATAAAATAATTTTGTCAAATATTTATTGACTAATGAAAAATATTTTTAGGTTGAAACTAGTAAAAGCGGTTCTTACAAGACGTGCAGAGCATGCTAATAGCTCAATTTTTTACACTACTGCTAAAAGTGGGACAATGCTCAAATGTTGAGATAAAACTTTGAAAGCAACAAAGAAAACAATATACGTTCATGTGACCTAATAAGATAATGGATTAAAATAAAATGAAAGGCAGTAATACCATTTAAAAAAGCAAGGTGAAAGTGATTTTATTTTGCTTGTAGAAATGGGGCATCTGACTTATTTGCCAAGTGACGCTACCTTTCCTACACTCAAAATAAAATGGCACTCTCACCCCTTGTATCAGAATTGTTTTATCTGGGCAAATGTCTGGTGGTATTTTCATTTGTTTCTTTTCAATTCTGTTCATATAGTTCTTGCATAATGCTAGTAATAATGTAGTATTCACTTTAATTTGGCATATCTGCAAGCAAATACTAAAAGGTGCATTTGAGCAGGTTTACTGTTTATTACCTTGTGTAATACAAAATTGTTTTGCTAAATTACGAAGTTGTATAATATGAATTTTCTCAACAAATACTAGATCTTACTGCCCTAATTTGACCTTTCTCTTCCATAAAATCCTTTTTATTGTGAATTTTTTGATAAATCAGGGCGTGAAAATAACAAGTGAACTTTTAAAGTTCCCGCGTTGCTGGTTTATTTCAAATTTACAGGTTGTTATCCGTTTACCCAATAGAAATTATACAGAACAATGTGGCGGCACCGGAAGTTGGGCAAGTAAGTCGAGTGCCGTCTCTGACATATACTTTGGTTCCGACCTGTAAAGCCCAGGAGTAGCCCCTGGCAAAGAGTATTTATATATGGCCCCTGGCATATTTCCTTAAGGCTTTGCTTATTAGTACAGCTTCCTGCTTGGGTTGTGTTGCAGTTCGGTCTGCTCGTCTTTTGTTATAGCCAGCGCAGTAAATACAGTTATTTCGTAATTGTGTTAGTGCTATTAATTGGATTTTTTTACTGTGTAAATCAACAAGAAGTTGTGACTGACTAAGGGAACTATTGATTATATGATGTATTTCATATAATTAATTGGTATATATTATCAGGATAGTGAAATAATCTCCAAATGCTATTGTAGTTTATTTGAAATAATTTGAAGTAACGTATTTTGTAGGAGCTGTATGCCTTTATCATGTGTTCCTGGGTGTAATGGGAATTACAAAACTGGGCTACCTGTTCGTCTTTTTTTATTTCCCAGCCAAGAAAAGCATCCGGAAATGGCTTAATGCTATCAAAAGAAACAACTTTTCGCTTAATAAAAATACAAAGGTGAGAAATTCTAAAGAAAATATATAGGTTATGTTACTCTGTTAAGTTGCAGCTTCGAAAAGTTATTGCTTTGAAGTTAGTTTTGTGGCATATGGTGTATAGAATCAGAACTTCCAAATTGCTTTTCTTGGGGAATGTTTCAAAATAAATTACCAGTAAAAATATGTTTGCAGGTTTTAGCAGGATATCCATTGTTTCCAGAAAAATCTGTAGATATTGAACTGTGGCGGCTATGTTAATATATTTTCTGTATACTATTTAATTTACTCTCATTATTTATTTTCATTATAGGTTTGTGAGAGACATTTTTCGAAAAATGGTTTTCGAACGCACTCTCAGGCATGAGGTGAGAAGACTGGCACAATACTAAAAGTACCTTTACAAATGGTTCAACTACTTCCGGATGCTGTTCCTACACAGTTTCCTGATCTGCCCTCTTATTTATCTGGTCCCCCTACAACCCACAGTGTGTTTGTTGCAAAACAGGGTGAGGAGAGAGTGCTGCAATAGATCAAGCCATTACAGACAGCTTTAAAGAACATGAGGGATATGAAAAGACCAGAAGTTTCTCCTCATTTGAAGAACTCAAATCCAAACTTCACTTTTTTAATAATAGTGAGTGGATGGTACTTGAAGAAAGTGATTCAATT